ATAAATATCAGAAGTAACTTACAATGCCCCACCATCGCACCGCTATGCTTCGTCGTTCTTTTCCGTTATAAAACAATACCCAAACACTGTTTAGGTCTCAATGTTAAAACTTCCAAATACACCTATAATATTTTTTTGTTAAATTCGGTTTAAGTTAACAATAACATGTTCATTTTCTAAAACTGTTTATGGTTTTTATAGGATATTTTTTAGACAGGTACTGACCCTTAAAAGCTAAAATTTTTATTATTATGAATTGCTCGAATGCGTAATGTCTAAAGTTAAATGTCTTGGCTAAGCATGTCAACGTCCGATTTAGTAGAGTAGCTTTTAAGTTAGACTGCGCCGAAGTGGTAGTAACAAATTTATTGTAATACTCTCTTATTACCTAATAAAAGGCACTTATTATTAATATTATTATTATATATTCATTCCGGGTTTAATACAGTACGTCCATTTTGGTAGCATGTATGACTTTTTTAGAGACTTATAACAAAATTATTTAATGAAAGCTCCGTCACTCCGGAGGGTACTGTAGATTCAACCGGCATGTTATTGACTAAAATGAGATTTAAAATTAAAGCGCCTGCAATAAAAATTTTACAAAATATTCAGTTTAGTAAATTAGTAGTGTGAAAATTGAAAATTCGACAAGGAATTTCGACTAGTACATTTTGCGTCAAACGCAAACGCGAAAAAACTCAAAGCAAGGAACCAGATCTGGCGAATTAAGGGGCGTATTAAAATCGGGCGATTTCTGGATTCGCCAGCCACGTCGGCTCGATGTTTTATGGGCCACTTTTCCAGAGATTTTAGTTTACTTAAGTGATACATTATTCACAAAGAATGTTGCCGTTCCGCCTCATATATTTTATGGCGCGATTTTAAAAGTAAAATTTGCATTTAAGTTCACTTGCACTCCTGGGCGCGAGATTTTACTGCCGCGACTTTTTTCCTATTCATTTTGGGTTTAAGTTTAACTGGCGGGAGAGTAATAAACATTTTTTATGACAAATTGAATCGCGAAAGTTGGGAATCGTGAATTTTGACCAGTTTTCGCGTCAAATTCCATCTGGTCCTCGTTCATCTGATGAATATTTCGCGTGTATTCGATATTTGGCTCCCAACATGACATCACTCTAGCGGTATGCGTTCTGGCATTGTCTTGTCTCCTACGACCTCTATACGACCTCAATAAATCGATCATCTGATGAATATCTATCTGTCGGCTCGTAGCTACTCTCCATGCACGTCCGATAGCACGGCTTGTACTGAAACGGTCTTCACGGGTAAGTCTTAGAAACCGTTTTGCGCGATCACTGATCCTACAAAAACTCCAGTGCATGTATATGACGACGGTGTACAAGACTATTCCGCTAAACAACGCATCATGCCGGTCAATCCTGTCGAAAGAGTTTCTAGGCTCTCGTAGATTCAAATTTAATTGGCGTCACCTCTTCGTAAAGGAGTCATTGCAAAACGATGCGTTCCATACTCGAAACGTAGTAAAACGGAATAATTCTAAGCAAATTTTTAAAAAACTATTTATTAAAACCTGCCGAAAGAGCCAGCAGGATGATTGACAAAACGTCAACAAGGTCGATCCCACGCAGGAGGAAACCAGAAGATTTGTAAATAGTATTACAGTAGCCTGTGGAATTTTCATTAACAAATAATTTAAATTTGTGAAGGAGTAAAGGTGAACGGCAAAAAAAAATCATTCTTATTGAAAATTTGGAAACGTTTTTGTTTCTAATTCTTTCATATTTGGCGTTTTTAAAAAAATAAATATTTTTGAAAATACGAAAATACGAAAATTTTGTTTCCTTTTCCTTTATACCAAAGAAGCCTGAATATTTCTATAAGCTCCATCCAGAAATTCAATTTTTTATACAATGTGCATACGAACACCTTAGGCCACCGAATCATAGATTAAACAGAAAAATGAAATCACGTCTTTGTTGCACTTTAATGGTATAAATCTCGTGACCATGCAAATGAAAAAGTTACGAGGGCTACCTTTTATATTTCGGGATTTTCTTAGTCCTGCTATCTGGCGAACGTTTTTATAGGGAAATTTGACATTTTGTGTTTTTTGTGATAAATTAAACGGTTTTTTTTACAACTTTAGACGTGGACTAGCTCAACAACAATGCATCGATGAACTTAATTCGACTTTTGGAGTTAATGCACCATCTAGGACTACTGTTTATCGCAGGTCTTCGGACTTCAGTCGTGATCGTAGTTTGCTTAAGGATGAATTTCGTGAAGGTCGTCCAAAATCGGTGGTTGTCCAAGAAAACACTGATGCAGTGCGGAAACTGATTCTGCAGGACTTACCATGAGATTGAGGGATCTTTGGGTATTAGTGGGACCAGCATACATACGTAATTTTGCATGAATATTTAGCCGCTAGAAAAAATTTTTCGAGTCGGATTCCACACAATTTGCTCATAAAAAGGCTCGTGTTGATTGGTCGAAGGAAATGCTAAAAAAATACAATCGCGGTGCTTCCAAACACATCTATGATATCGTGACAGGTGATGAATCATCGATCTATGGATATGAACCTGAAAGTTAGCAGCAGTGTACTGTGTGGGTCTTTCAGAATGAGACAAAGCACACAAAAGTTGTTCGCGCGCGAAGCACCTCGAAACAAATTGTAGCCTGTGATTTCAGGAAAACTGGCCACGTTGCAACCGTTTCTTTGGTGAAAGGTAGAACAGTCAATTCTGAATGGTACACAACCATTTGTTTGCCGAAGGTCTTCGAAGAAATTAGAAAAACCAACAGCCGAAGACGAATCACTCTCCACGACGACAATGCTAGCTCTCATCGATCAGTGCAAACAAAGGACTTTTTAAAGATTAAAAACGTCGATTTGATGAGCCATCCACCATATAGTCCTGATTTGGCACCTAATGACTTCTTTGTATTCCCATACATTAAGAATAAATTGGCGTGAGCAACGATCTTTGACACCAGAAGAAGGGATTGATGCGTTTAAAAAGCATGTTTTGGAGGTGCCCCAATCGATAATCAGGGCGAATATTTTGAGAAACAATAGAATCGTATTTGTTGGTAGCCTATAGCTTTATAAAAATTATAAAAATGACTAAAACTCGTAAAGAAGTTCAAATTAATTTGCTTACTCGATGACGGCCAAGTCTGGCGTGGCTAAATAGCGTGTCGCCACGTGCCCCAAATATTTATAAAATAAAAACTGATTTTTTATTAATGCCCCCCACCCCTCCGGCAGCATATTAACTACAACTATAATTTGAAACCGTTACGAAAGTCGCTGGTTAGGCATTTTGTTTGGGCAATTATCCGTACAAAATGGCCGGATTATATTCGTCAGATCTTTCGATACGAAGTTGGTTACGTTTTTTTCAAAATTCCTGTTTAATTCCATGCAACTTTGAGTCCGGGGTAAGCCGAAAGCGTTCACTTTTTTTATTTGGAACCATAAAACGAGTGTGTAATAACGGAAAAAGAAAACTGCTTCAGGTCACGAGAATACTCGATTACGCTAAAATTTACTCGGAATAATTGACGAAATAATAATTGATTTCTAGCATAATAGGACTCCGAATAGTCCGAATGGAAGAACCTATGAAATTAAAGAAACAAATATGAAATTGTAAACCTAATAGATTAAAATTTTAGGTACTTTTTAATCAACCGCTTAAGAATATTTTGATATTTACCATCGATTCAGAAACTTTTGCCCAATTGACTGCTATCGGTTGAAAGCATTAAATTATTAACCATTAAAATATTTAAAAAAGTCAACGTTAGGGCCATGCTGTTTAGTTGTTTCACAAAAGCAATCTTTCCCAGGCACCTTTTCGACGGTGTAAAATCTTTGGTGAATTGTCCAAAAATGTGTTCTTTTACTAACATTTTTATTAAAGAAAGATTTTTGGTCTTATATATGTTGTATTTGGTTCCCATAAGGTTGAAGAATTGGATACCTCCAATGTCTTATATTCTTTACTCATTTTGTAAGGAATTAATATTTTGTTCTTGCACACTGTACAGCAGAATGATATTTTTTTATTTAGCAATTTATTGGATAGAGAAAAAAATATTTTGCATATAGAAACTACACATTCTGCTACACAATCAACAATTATCAACGGTTAATTATGTGAATAAATCAAGGAGTCTATATACGCTACCTAAATTTACTTAAAAAAACTAAAACTGACATATGTTTCAACATGAGATAGAGATATTAAGGTTAAACAAAATTTAAAGTAAGTTGAGAGTTGTTAAGCATAATCATAGCTTCAATTCACGAATGAAATTAAATGTTAAAAATAATTAAACATCTACAACAAGAAGACAAGAAGATTTGATAGCATGCTTAAAATAATTTCAAACACTTCTAACCATTGTAATTAATAATATAAATTAATACATTTCAAAAAGCGTCAAAACAATCTAAAATTAGTTGCCTTCATTTTTATTTACTACACTACCGGACAAACCGGCGCAGAGGACAATAAGGACACCGGAAAAACTGTTTGTGTGTTCTAAAAAAAGCTTGCCCGTAAAATCCCTGACAAAGGATGATTCATGCGTTTCGTGACAACCATTTCAATGTAAGTATATATTTTATTTATATTTATGAGTATTTCATTGTCTGAGTAGTTCGAATTCAACTGGACGAATAAACGTTATCAGCAATGAGAGCGGCATTTAATCAGGTATCGACAGATAAAGAAAAACTAACTTTTTTTAACAGTTTCTTGGAAAATTTATTGAAAATTTTAGTGAAACTAATTGTTTAATTAAATAATAGGCATACAATACGATTTTCCCCAAACTCAAATGTCATACATTAGCTTATCCATTTGAAAATATTTTGATATAGAAAAAGTAGCCTTTGCCTTGGGAGGGGTTATTTCCCACACGCCCTGTACTAACAGAAATAAACGCGAGATGTGAGAGTTAAGATAAAATATGAAACAAATGAAACAGACAACACATACCTGAACCGACTGGCGTAGAACCACCTCGGCTGCTACTGCCGCTACTACAACCAGCTTCCCTATCTTGAACTACTTCCAACGACTGAGTTACTGTTTTTGATGTGACATTATCTTCACCCCCTTCGACGCATCCTCGGACAGATGGCACCGCCGCATCGGGAGCGGTATGAATAATTAACTGGCTACCGGATTCCGCCCCGCTCAGCAGAAATATCGGTGTACTGGCGCCCAACCTTTTAACCCCGTGAAGAAAAACGCCCTTCTTAAAATCGGCGGGTTGGATCAGAATCTGGCCGATTTTGGGTTCCGCGCCATCGTCGACCAAGATATTATTTTTGACTAGTTGATCAGTTCGCAGCAGGATATGACCCGCGTCTAAAGATTTTGTGCTTCGCAGGAAAATAATGTTATTCCTACTAACTTCCGAACCGTTAACGGTGCGAACTACTTTAGGATTGGGCCCCGGCATCGGAGGATTGTCACTTCGGTCGTCGTCGGCTTTCGCTACACCTGAAAAAAAGGAAAACATCAATAAATCGTTAATATAGATTTATAATAAAAACAATTATTTTCTATTTCAAACTGCTCATGATAACTGAGGTGCGCCCCTGTCCCATCGCTCAGGGCGCTCAGACCTTTCAATTATTCCCGCACACCTTCGCTCAATGTCCTGTACTTCTGGACAGTTCCTCAGGCTTAATGAATTGAGCTCCTAGCACTCTTAATAGGCTGTACTCTAGTGGTGCACAGCTGGTTAAGAGGTGAATTGGAGTTTTCTCCTTTTCTAAACCACGTCCATGATTTGAAGGTGCCTTCTTACATGACAGTGTTCCGTTACGATTCCTACCAGTGTTCGTTCAGAGCCCACTTTTAGTCCTCGCATTGGAAGCTTCCACTGCTTCAGCCCCGGAAAAACTCTCGCAATGGTAAGAGAACTGCCTCCTGAGCCATTCAGCCGCTCTTCAGCTCACTGTCAGTTATGTCAAAGACAGGCTCTGGTTGAAGATAGGGCGTTACCACTGCGCAAATTGTACAAAATCGAAAACAACAAGGAATGACACTACTGGAGAACCTAAGATCACTGCCGCCTACGGTAAAAAAAATTATATTTTGTTCCATGACAGTTAAATTTTATGTTCAGGTATGTTTTTTTTTTTAATGTAAAGGCATATGATTTGCTTCTTAGTATTCGTGTTTATTTTTGGTTTAGATTGCGGTTTAAATTTGTTCCGTTGTTTAGTATTTTGTGTATTGTAACATTAATTTTAATCTCCAAAGAATACATATCATCGGTATACAAGAGAAAGTGACCAAGTCCACAGATAGTACTTTTGAGTTATTAGCATTTTAATCTTTGCTTCTGATTATAAAATCAATTATTTTGCGTCAGATTAGATTATAATGATTTTTATAAACAATGTAGTTTTTAGAATATGTATTTTAAATGAAAAAAGCCTATACCTAACTTAAACAAATACTAAACTAGTAATTAATTTCAACTACCGTAGGTTTGTAATGGTTTTTATGAACAATGCAGATTCTAGAATATGTATTTAAGCTTAAAAAAACTATAATTAAACAAATAGTAGTAATTAGCTGCAACTTCATATCTCTTCATCGCAATTTTCATTGTCTGAGTGTTCTGGACACCAGTCTGTCAACGAATTGTCACTCGGTATGTTAAAGTACCAACCATGGTATTCGACTGGGATTACCTTCTTGCGGCAAAGTTTAATTAAATCTTTTTTCTTCTTGGCCGATATAGGCGAGGGTTCAGTATACCATTTCTTTAACTCAGTTTCTTTTGCAATATTACTGGGCCTACCTTTTGCTTTGCCTCTCACATTAAACATTTTATACTTTTCGTCATAAACATTATAAATATTTTTTTCTCTTTTTCGTACCTTAATTGTTTGATCTTTAACCATTCTATTTTTGCTCACCCTTCATCCCGAATTGTATTTTGTAGTATAGATGTATTGAGTTCTTTCAAGTCAATAATGTTGTGGTAGGTCATTTTGCTCTATAATGTATGCATCAGAAGCTTTATTTTTGCCTCTCTTGTATCTTGCTAGTGTCATAATTGTCTTCCAATCATTAAGACAAAATACAGGAATGTATCTTTCTGCACTTTCAATTGCACTATGCATCGAATCAGCCTCCATGTGTGAGTGACCTTTTTCTAAAAAGTTATGAGTAATAATCTCTATAGGTAACTGGTTGACTATAAACAACAAAAGAGCCGCAATGTATTTGTTTCGGTTTTGCCCACCACACGTGTCGCTAAAGAGTGACACTTCTTTGACAGTATCAGGTAAGGTTTTAAACCACTTTAACAAAGCTGCACCTATTTCACAACTTCCTCGTTGGCCATCTACTTCGGACCAAAGATAACAATATCCTTTATTTGTTGGAGCTGCTTCATAAATTGTTAAATTGTATGCACAGAGCTTTCGACTATAATAAAGAGGTGATACCTCGGCGCATGGAATTTGCAGGACACTCTGTAAATCAAAACTTACTGATACAAAAGTTTCGTTATGAATTGCTCTTTGTTTATCTAAATCTTTTGCTCTATTAGCATCATCTCTTCGCTTTATGTGAGAAAGAAATTCTTCAGATTTTTCAATAGATTTAGCTTCTTTAACACACAGCAAACATTGATCTTTCTTGGGTTTGAAGACAGATAAGTTATACTGTGTACAAAACACTCTCCTATATGTTATTGGAGAAACAAAATCCTTTTGATTGCTCATCTGTAAATCTTTAGATAGAATTAATTAGAATTAAGATACTTCCGTGTCGTCCCACGTCTACAATAGTGTGATTCCATTACAGGAAATGATTCTATATGCCTCTTCACCTCATTCAACATGACAGGTTTAGTCTTGTTTTCTGGGTAACTTTTTCCTTTTCGATCTTGAATTGAATGATTTATTCCATTCCCACCTATGTTCAGTACAGCAGAATCAACCGGTCCATGACTTATCGACATGGTTTTTAAGTAAAATTTTTTACAAACCCTTTGCTTTTTTCCATTTTTTAAAAATGTATAAATTCTAGAAACATTTTTTGAAGGTCTACTAGAGTCCCTGGTTCGTATTCTTTGACATTCAGAAGTTGCAACAGTATTAATTATGAAGTCCTTTTGTCTGTCATAGGATAGACTATGATATTCTTTACAGATATCTTGTCGAAGATCTGCAGGAAATACTTCTGTACATTTATAGCGGCAATTGTCACAATTTACATTTCTAGGGGACTTAGCAGACATTTGTTTGCCTTTAGTATTAATATACGCTAAACAGGATTTTTTTAATAATTTTTTTTGCTCACGTTTTGTTCCTTGAGGATTTTTGATTACCCATCTGCGCTTTTCTATAACTTGTGTAGGATTTAATAGTGGTTCATTTACTATTGAAGTGGTAGGGATTGTATTACGAGAATTAGTAGCAAATTCTACCGGAACATCCATAAGATCATTAATAATCTCTTGTACGTTGTTATAATAATTGTTCGAACAACTCATTTTGTCACTAAAATAAAGTATTATTGCATTAGCCTATTACTTTTTACAACGAAATATACGAAAACCTAAATTATTATAATACGCGTAGGTACTTACCAAAGATGTTGTCTAAAAACATACAACACAATTGTATTTTACTTTAAGTAATAATATTATGATAAACTATTTAAACTGAAAACATCAATTAGTTTGACAACACTCGAGCATAATGCATGGCTATCTTGATTAGTCAAGAGTCACGTGCTAAAGAGATAAAAATACTAACAGGAAAAGATGACTTCCACTTAGTCATTTTATCCTGTACATGTTCTTACACAATGGACTGGTCATTACGGAATTTGAAGTTATAAGCATTATTGTGGCATTTTTGGTTGGTTTTGGTTACTATTTGCAACTTTTGCAACTTTTTCACTTATATCGGAATACTGAGTTGCAATTTATCGTTGAGTAAAATTTGATTTTTATTTTAGTTGGCATCTCTCTCAGAAGTCGGTATTATAACTTCGACGAAAACACAACGAACTCCTGATTCGGCAGTTTTAATACTATTCCTATACTATACTTTTCATTCGTGGAGAAAATTTGTTAAATAAAAAATTGTGTACCAGTCAAATAAGTTGAGGTAATGGACACAATAGGTTTCTTAATTAGATTAATTATTATGCTGATGACAAATAATATGCATTTAGACATAAACAGCCCTGAAGCAGCTCCCTCTGCTGGATTCCTATAGCAAATTTAACTTTTTTGAATTGAAAAAACTCTCGTAAAATAATACTACATCTAACAATTGACTCAAAGTGGGAATTAAGCTTAACTTTAAAAGTTTATTTCTATATGTACCTATAGGGGTGACCTTTAAACCATGGCTTCTAACAAGCTCGAAACAGAAATGAATAGTAAAGGAAAATTTATTGCTTCAAACAAGTGGGACAATTATAAGAAAAATCAAAATACAAAACGAGCAACCGAAGTACCTCATGAAATTTCTATGTAATTGCGGCGGAAATGTTTGGTAGCTGAAGGAGATATTTTTATATTAACATTCAAATATGCATGTGATGTGGATTTCATAATACTTTTTAATATTTATTATATATTGCTTATAATAGGAGTGCATAATTAATAAATTAGTATTAACAGCACTCATTTTCATTCAATGTTTGAACAGCTAAGCTAAGTTTTGCTTATTTACATAATTGTACATTTTAGCGATAATAATTTTGACGAACTTTACTATTCCTATCTATGGGATTCCTAGAATTAGGCTGGATATGCTGGAATACGCGTTAACTGTATGTATATTTATATATCTTCTTAATCTTCTCCACACAATTTCCCCTCCAAAACTCACACATACGATCAATTTAAACAATAGCTCCTTGAAACTGTAAGAGAGTTGGTTCTGGGTTGCATTTGTTATGTACTAGGCCAGGTTTTGGTTCTGGTTCTGATTTTTCATATGTTTATGTTTTTTTACATAGTGGCCTAGTTGATAAATCCTAGACCTTCTTCTTCTGTCAGTTTTTAAGATCAAGGTAACTGCTTTCACATTCCAGACTTCTAAAACATCAAAGAAACGTAGCACCTTAAGCCATATCCTTTTAAGATCGATACTTTATTTTCTGACCCTCTTCCAGTCTTTTATCTCTTCAGTTTATGGACTTTGAGTTACAAATTGTGTGTTGCTTTCAAAAAATACTCGAGGTTCTGGAGATAATAACTAAAAAACATCTTTTTCAATTATCGGCATTTTTGTTATTTGCGGATCATCAACGAATAGGCCTGCATCATCACTGCACCCACCTTCTAACTTGCATATAGGTCGTAATACATAAGCTGTGAGAGCACTGCTAAAAACGTTCTCAAAACATAAGTTAGACCAGCCCAAAACTAACGTAAAATATAATTTTGATCAAATAAAGTTTGTGTTCAAATACAAGAGCGCCATCTCTCGGCATACTCAAAATATTCCGTGTAG